TCTGACACATATGACGTGCAGTTATATGCAGTGGTGACTTCTTCCATAATCTGCCCTTTCCTGTCACAGATTGTATTATGCAAATATTCTACAAGTACATTTGCATTTGTATTTTTTATTTTTATTTATTTATTCCCACAAGATGCATGTGCTAAAAATCGATCCTCTTGAATCCCACGACCATCTCTTTGCTGTGTTGTGCTTTGTGATGAAGTAGAGGAGCCTTCAGCAGAAATAACATTGGACCACCTGAGTCCTCATCAGCGCCACTACACGGCACATATCCCATCAGTGGGCCTCACGAAGACAAATCTCCCGGAGCCGGCAATATTCCCAACATAGGACAGAACCAACCCAAGCAGCACAGAGACCCTGGAGGGCCCACCATCACTGCACCTGACGCCAGTTCTCCACCTCCTGACAGAGTAGTTTTCACTGAAACCTTCACACTCCACAAAGAGCGAAAGGAGAAACGATACAATAAATCCCTTACAGTGATATTAAATTCTTTTGCCGTGTTTGTACATCATCATAAGGCTACGCTTAAATTACTCTTTGTTGACGGGAACCCAGTTTTTTCCAAAACATCGTGCGCCATGTTCTTTTGGCCTTTATTTGGCTTTCTATTCAAGTCGTGCAAAGCTTTCTCATGGGCTGTCAGGGTATCCGTGACAACGGACTGCGGGGGAGCCGTCGCTGAGTCCCTGATACTCAAAGTGCACTACAATTTATTTGCCCAGCAGTCTTCCACCCGGCCAACAAGTTCTGATGGGGTCCTTTACGTTTGACATGTTCTGTCCAGGCTTTGTACAGTTGACACCGGGCAACTTAAGAGCATACTCGTGGTCCAGGCTGCATCGAAAGAAGCAACCCTGATAACCTGGCTCAACGGGGGTCACAAAGTGCCACTGTATAAATGTTTCCTGTCAGCAACTAATTCACAAGTTTCACTTTTACTCATGTACAAATGTGTACTACTACTCTCTTGTTTGATGCATTTCCCCTGCCTCTCTTTCTGATCCAATACTGAGGAAACAAAAGATGAACTCAATTGTTCCCTGATATAATGGCTGAACCACGAAGCACAAAGCAGAAGAATAGTCCTGCTCGTATTGACTTTTAAAAGGGCGCCAGGATGTATTTGGATGGTCTGGTTTGTTCGGGTTCGATCAGGGGGTTTACAGCTGATTGAGGCAAAAAATGGGTTTTTTTTTTTTTCATTTTTTCTCAATTTTTCATTGGTGATCAGATAAGTATGTTAAATAGAGCAGCAATAGCTTAATTTTTATACTACACAATATTACACATTTAGGGGCGGTCAGTGGCAGTCAGAGACACATGCGCGCACGCACGCACACAGTGCACAGTGCTCTCCTGCCACGCTGTAGCAGAAGCTTAGTTAAGATGGTGTATTAGGCATTTTTCTATATGTGATGGTGACAGTGGCATCCATCCACTCACTTGGCTAATGTTGCTTCTTTCAAATGCCAGCTGAACCTACTGGGCATTTTATTTCATGTAGCATTGTGCACCTGTGTCTAAAAATGTACTTCTCACAGTGGAGAATGAATGATCACATATTGCTCTGGAGGCCGCAAATGTTTGGCTAAGTTTGTAAACAATCGGCTCACTGATGATGAGTGTGTGTTTGGGTGAAATGGCTATAGGCACATCATTTACCAAATGCTGAACTTAACTCCTATTATCCAAAAACAAAATTGTGGATAGTGCAAATTTCGAGTGAATAGTCACTCTAGGAAGCCACCAGCCACAAAATTGTGAATGCCAAGCCCAGTGAAGTAAAACAAATCATATAAACTCCTTATTTATATATATATATATATATATTTTTATATATATCTTTTTTTTTTTTCCAGTGCTAAAAGCTTTTTATGTGAGGCAATTAATTTGGTTCCTTAAGTCCATTCATTGCCCGATACTTTGACTGTTCTCCTGTCAGTCACAGAGCACATGGAGACAAAGAAGCATTCACACTCACATTCACAGCTATGAGCATTATGGAAATCTTCAATAACACCAAAAGCATCTTTTAGGAGTTTTAGGGCTGTAGGAGGAAATTGGTGTGCACAGAAAACATATGCAGGTATGGGAAGAACATGCAAGTCCCCAGAAAAATGTTCCAATTTAGATTGAAACCCAGATGTCCCGTCAACCAGTCAGTTGTGCTTACCACTAACCCACAAGGCTGTCTATTTGATATGTTGCACCAAATTAGAAGTCTTTTTTTTAATTATCAAATCATAATTACCCCAACTATACTTGCCATTGAAATTCTCAGGAAGTTATCAGTCCCTTTGCATCCCTACAAATGTATCAAATTGTATCATGCAGGTGTATGTGAAATGTGTGAGCCATTTTACTAAAGGCACCCGCTACTTCATTTATTAAATTCTGAGTGATGTGTGGAGCATAATTATCAGATCAGTAAGCAGCCTTGAAAAATTGACACGCTGAATTGCTTCAATGTACCCAATAACGTTTGCCCATTGCTGTTGACCAGATGTTCTTTTCTCATTGAGAGACATTCAGCCTCATTCACTTTATTTTTCTTAAGGCATCATACAGTGAGCACAAATGTGGACCTGAGAACACATTTATTCCATTTGCTTTCCTACGCTTATTTTTATGACACCATTTTCCGAGACAGCTTGCACTCTTGTTGTTTTTTCCCTCAGTTTTTTTATTTTTTTTTAATTTGTCTTCCTCACATCTGTTCGCCAATACGACATGACAAGCGTGAGTTGAAATGTTGGTATGAAATGCTAATTTCGTGCACAAAATACCAAATGGTGGTGATGCTGCAAAGTAAAGCACATATACAAGAGTTGTCGGGTAACCTACAAACTGACTTGGCGTGCTGGATTTGGTTCTTATCACAGAGTTCCTGCAGCCAAGTTGCTAAGGACTGAACGCTCAGTGAACTATCTGCAAACACGCAGCCTAATGCAGCCTCAGAGCTGACATGCTGTCACTGCGGGCTGCTATGCTACTCACATCCTGCTTGTAGAGGAGCTCAGCAACATGTCTTTGCCCCCCTTGCAACTCAACTTTTCCTGCAAGGCAGAGAGGGAAATAAAGGGACGAAAGCAAAAAGGAAGAAAAACATCAATAGCAAGACAGCGGTGAGCTGTTCTAACTGTTGTTTCGTTTTTGCTGTCGTGTCTATAAACTTTAAAGAACCGTTATTTATTGACTTTGACCTCCAGTCCTCTTGAGTGTGAGATGACATCATTCAGGCAATGTTAGGACTGATTGCTTTCGCTTATATGTTTTCCTTCACGTGCACCTTAAAATGTCCTTGCAACTCTTGTAAACCCGTTTCATAGGTCATGCATTGTTTTATCAAGGGCGGTGACCCAGGAAAAAAAAAACACATCCGAAAAAGTGACCCGTGCAATAAACGACTGGCTATGAATGTCGCATGGCCCTTGTACCGGTTGATTTGGGTTGAGATTGAGGTCTCGACCCCTGTCATTATAGCAAGATAGTGCCCTCTGCAATCTCTGGTCCCTTATTCAGTGCTTATTATATGGAAGAGTGCCCATGCTGGTTGGTTGCCTTCAAATTATTTTACATCGGATATAGTTGTGTTTTTCTTTTTTTCAAGTTTGCATAATTCAGAGCAGCGTGGGCCTGATTTATTAAAAGTTTTTAAGTGCAAAAAGGAACAAAGTTGACTGCGCACACAGACAGATGTGGAAGTTGAACTGCAAACCGGGTGCACCTGCAATTGTTAGCCAGATGCATGAATTGTTGCATTCATTTTGTGCGTTCTGCTTTATGTGTATGCAGACAGAAAAATGTAGCACATGCAATGTGAATTATTCAAGGTCATATCCGATCTTGCATCTTTAAAAGTGCGTCTTAAATTATGCCACCATCTCCGATGCCATTTTAACCTGCGACAAAACACGGCATCAGTATTGTTTTTCCTTGAATCTGGGTAATTTCACTGCACGGTGAAAATTGATGCTGGTCTTTCCTAAGTTTTAAACATAATGTTTAGTTAGCCTGGTTCACACAGCAGGATAATAGCCCAATTTTACAGTATTGGCTCAAAAAGATCATCTTCTCAGATATTCCTGATGTGTGTGGTATGTTGAGACTGATCTGGACCACTCGGATGGACGCTTGGGCGGCTCCGATCTCCAGTTGGGGATATTCAACATGTTGGATTGTTTTAGCCTGACTTCTCACTGTTTGCGATGTGCCCTGAGGACAAACGAACAAGCAGACTGTTGAGGATGACGTTCCGCCAATCAGAAACTAGTGCCTCTGGTTCCTCTTCGTCTGTCATGTTAGTTTACTCTAAAGTCCCGTTTAATCTCGAGAGGTTTTGCGAGATTTCCCGTCTGACCCGAGAATATTATTAAACACATCGGTTTATGTGTGATGTGTTGTTGTGGCTGCACACCACACATTGTATGTTCAAATGTGTTATACCCGTCTTTTTTTTTTTCTTGTCATGTGTGCGATCTTTGAAGTGCAAAACCCTCATTTAAATGCAGGCATTTTTTTTTTTTCAGTTTTACACGTTGCCACCAGCTTGCTGTTTGGGATCTTAGTTCAAAGTTTGCTATCATAATAGATCATGCGCATCAACCCTGTACACAAACTGTGAGTGTTGTTGCAGAATTCCTGTTATGGTCAAATCATTTGTGTAGTATAATGGTTTTGTTGTCAGACAAGACTCATCATGAAGTGAGATGCAGCTTTGACTGACAGGCAACAATGTGTACGGTTCCAAATGAAGTCAGAGTCAAATGCTTTTGTAGGCAAAGCGGTACATGGCCTCCAGGCTGCGTTAATGGAAAACAGAACAGTCACCAACGCTGGAAAAGTATGAGGGGGAAATCAATGCACGGGAATAGAATGATCCAATGAAAAATATTCTAGTAAAACTAGTTCTGCCTACAGTACATGTTATGAATGTCTTTTAGACACTGGTATTGATTGACATTGTCTCTTTCCTTTTGTAGGGTTTCCCAATGAGCCTGCAGGTGACATTGCCCTGAACACAGTCAAAAGTTGGATCGAAGAAAATCCTAATACGGTAAGACGAGTTTGTGTATCCTCCTCCTCCTTCTCCTGGGGTGAGTCATTACAAATGAGCATGGTCGGACCACCACAGTGAGACAAAACGCAAATTTTCACGCGTCCTTGTATTTGATGGCGTCTCGTCGATCTGCCTCGCTTCATCAACCATCAGGTTTGAGGTCTGCATTCGTCATCAAATTAAAAGCTAGTCTGAGACTAATCAGACCTAAAATGGTCTGTTGATTCTTCAACTGGTCTTAGCCGAGGAGTATGAGCAAAGTCAAGAACATAAACACATCTGATGAAATAATCTATGAAGCGTTTTTGTGTTACATTAATTATTGAGGTCTTGAATGATCTGGACATGGCGAAGCGTTTCATGCTTCTTCAATAAATTGTACTCAGTGATTTATTTGTTGGTAAACATATCACAAGTGGAAAGCATGTGAAATTGAATACATTGTGAAATTAAATTCTTTTTCATTCCGTAAATGATTCGTCCTTTGGAATAACAACTCTAATGGTGACTTCAAATAATTTTGTATCAATGCAATACTAAACAATACAACATCAAAGCAAAAAAAAAGCCTGAATGGTGAGCAGCTTCATCTTACTTCTTCTGAGGTTGAGGGTTCAAATCCTTCCAGTATATTTGCATGTTCTTTCCAGGCTGGCATGTGTTTCCCAATCAGGATAAGCCATATAGAAAAAGGATGACTTCATACGGTGTGCCGTTTTCCCCCCATCAAATTCTATGTCTTTATTTTTATTCGGCCTTAAATGGTTACGAACTGGTTGTCAGGGGGTCGTTAAATATGACACCGAACATTAACCTGTGAGTAATTCAACCGTCAGAGGTCATTTACGTGTGCTTTTATACTCTTCTATCTGTCACCGTGGGTGTCCGTTTCAAACTCACAGCTTGATATGCTCCAGCATCGCTCAGCTGGTGTTACAGATGCTGTGAAGAAGCAGGCAAATCTTACCTGCTGCTGGATTACTTTGCGACTGACGTGTGACAAGACGTTGCCTAATGATTGCTGCAAGGTGCATTTGGTGAACCTGTTCGCGCGCTGTCTTTCCCAAAGAATACCGTATAAAGAGCAGGCCTTAAGATGACTCTTATGTGAAGACTTGAAATTGCACATCCTATCGGTGTGAATGTGAGTGTGATTGGTTTTCTGTCTGTATGCGCCCTGCAATTTAATCAGTTTGACTAAGACATGACTCTGGCTCGCAATTCCATAAGCATTACCATAAAAAAAAATAAAAAAAACAATTTCGACTTGGTGACGGCGTTTACATTCTGTCACACAATACATTTGCAGCTGTATGTTCCTATACAGAGAAGCAGTGCGTCACTGCAGTTTGTGTCCATTTATTGATAGAAAATGTTTCTGTTATCTGGCGTCCTGTCAATTTAGACACGAAAATGTAATCTGGTTGAGTCCAAAGTAAATGGTGCTGTTACTTCCATTACTCAATAGTATGCAGCAGTCATCTCGTTACCTCTGCGTCCCGCGTCCTAGATGCATAATTTTCCCGCGGGACGCACAATTCCAAATAATGTGCGTTTTTGGGACGCAAGGAAATTTATCAGTCAAAACAAAAAAAGAACTACAGTACATCGTTTTTCCAGCAATGCAGTGTCGCAATTTGACAATCCGCCACCATTGTTGTTTTGATCTCGCGTTAAGTAATCTCGCGTGAAGAGATTTCCTTTCTCGCGAGACGCGATTGGCGAGATCGGCCTTCAACCACGCGTGGAAAGCGGACGATTGCCAAGTTGTGTAACGTTAAAACAAGTGTTGCGAACAAGTGTTGCAAAAGTTTCTTGCGGAGGTATCACAGAGGAAGCAGCTAAAGTTGGATAGTTTTTTGCGATAATAAGTTGACTTGCATCATTGGAAGCAGAGTAAAGAGATGAAAATTTATGAACTCAAAGACTGAACCACGGGATGAAATAAGAACCTATTTCTCAGCAAATCTTGTATCCCTCAATTAATAAAATTTTTGCAGCATTTGTTTATAAGAAATAAACCTATTATCAATGTATATTGTTGTTGTTTGCGTTATTATCATACGCAATTGAATAAGTAGACCATTTCAGAATTCGAAATTTGGGACTCTCTAAATGCATAATGGGACTCATACTTTTCTGATCAGCGAGTCCCTGAGACTCGCTGGGGTTCAACTGTAAAATTATCACTGAAGCAGGATGTATGCATCACTGGTTGCAAATCGGCCAGTAAGAAGAATAAGTATTAATCGTCCATGAATCAGTTAAACTTAACCTGCTTGTTCAGCCGCAGTCCAGTGAGCTCTATGCTGAAGTGCTAATATGGTCATTGTCAACAAGAGACAATTCATTTCACGGCGACAATAAAGCTTCTACTTAGAGGGGAAAATGCTGTGCTATTGTGGCTTAGAAATCTGTACAATAGCCTGGCAGAGGATCTGAATCACTTGGGCGGCAGAGTCCATTCCCTTCTCTGGGCTGCATACGGTGCATGCGCATCTCTTTTCTGTTTTGTGAACTATCCACGTTTAGACTAACTTGATAGCATGCAAACACAATATGTGTGGAGTCGAAGGATGGTGGTTACATTAAGACTTGGTTGTCCCGCAGTGTGCCGTTGCTTTCGACAAGAGCGGAATTGAAAAGTAGAGAACACACTCTGATTGATTAGCCTTGAGTTTATCTCCTCTGCCAGCATTCTAACACAGGTGCACTCACCAAAGTGCAGCAATGTCGCACCCATGCAGGCTTCTATTGTGGAAGAATAAATAGCAGCTGTGTGCCAAGACCCTTTAATCGAGAGAGACCTGAGTGCAGCAGTGATTCTTCAAATCACAATAGATGACCGAATGAAGGGGCTCAGCCTCTACTGTGGCACATAAAATCTAATTGGGAGGGGGAGTTATCTTATCCTCAAGAAACAGAATGATTGACAAGCCGGCACTGATTTGGTCTTAGTTATTTCACACCCTCTTAGTTTGAATCAAATTGAAAATTAATCTCAGTTATTGTCATGAGGTTTTGAGAGCAACCTCTACAAAGTTAAAATATTTATTCAAAGTGACCACGATCTTTTTCAAATGTTCTGACTTACTACAGGTTGTTGGAGGAGCCACACTGTTTAGTTTGATCATGAAATGTTCTTTACAGCAGGCAGCTAAAACCTGTTCTGGCCTTTCATGATGAGTTCAGTCCAAGGTGAGCATTTACTGTGTGCTCTTAAGCACTGCATATAAAACGTGTAAAACGTGTGAGATTATTTCACTGATACCTAATGAATAATAACAGGATTTTTCATAACTCTGTCAAGGCATACAACTAACACTGTAGTGCTCGAAATGTATGCGTAAAAACACAGTGGGCTCTTGTGATTTTGTCATGAAAACATACAATAGACTTTTAGGATACTGTATGTAAAATGTGTTATCATTAAAGAAAATGTTTTTTTTTGGGGGGGGGGGGTCCTTCAAATTAAAAAAAATCTAAAAAGTCACCACAAAATTAGATGAAGTCTTCATCAGCCAAGTACATAAATTGTGCTAACGCTAAATAGGACAATTGGTACAATTCAGTTTGAATCATTTACCATGGATTTGATTCAAGAATTACATTTGGCTCTTCCAGAACAATATGATACCATTAAGTTTGGATCAGAGGAGCCGAAAATTCCTTTTCGAAACTTTGTTGTATATTTGCCGGTCTATTCAGCAGTAATGTATCAAGAATAGGAAATGTGAAATAGCAACTAAGCAGAGACATCCCAACCATGCAAATTGAGTTGAACCCTGCATGACTCACTCTGAGCCAACATACCAACTTACTTTCTCCAGATCAGTTAACAAAAACAATCACCATAATATTGACAGCAAATATATTTCTTTAATAGAAAGCAACATGCTATTGTGAAAAAAAAAAAAACATTAAATTTTAAACGTCAGTAATTCCCTGTGAAAGTTATCATTTTAATGAGTGCTCTATTAAAGCATTGAAGTAAGGAATATAGCCGTCTCTTGTATCGAGAGGTGTGTGCCAAAGGGTGGCATCTGTGGGTGCATGAGCGGCCACATTTCCCACCGCGTGCCTCAAGGATGCTGATGCGTCCCACTGATGGTTTGCGCAACTGGCATGGCGTTCAAAGCCGGCGCGGCTCTTTTGAAGTGAGCATCTACACCCCTTTGAATTCTCTGCTGCGACTGGGAGCGTCAGGCACATGTGGTCTGATCAGCAACTGAGAGCAGGACTGAACATTTGGCTCTGCATGCGCACACCGTATGTGATGCGGAGTTTCAAATGGGCACACAGTGTCTCCAAACTGAAATACCTTTCTGGCAAGAGAAGTTCTGTAAATTCTGACTCTTTTCTTTTTTTCTTTTCTTAATTTGGTGTCAGCTAATTACTTTGCTCCGACACTCAATGCATATTTTGTAGTGTGATATATCAGTGACTGGCCTGGATGCTGCAGCGTTGGGGTTTTATGTCTTTTATGATCTGAGGGTTTTATGATCTTCCCCTTTCTGAATAATGTGATGTGTGCTTTCTGATTCTCCTGTCCACCACTTTGAGTCTTTCAAAATGAAACTCGCATCAGTTTTTGGAATCGATTGAAGATGATATGGATTCAATTAGCGAATGGATGCTGTTGAAAGTTCGTCCTCAATTGTAACTTTGTAGCCTCGTGCTATCTGTAGATGAAAAGTGGTTGTGTTTAAATGTGTTCTGTAGAAGATAAAAAAAAAAAAAAGAGTTCATCACAAACAGTAAATGTGAGAGTATTTTCAACATTTATCTGGAAATTATTTGATTGTGCCCTTGAGTGAAATATCTTTTGTGGGGGATTAAAGCTTTTATCTTTCCCTCATATCGAAAGAAAGGTTTTGCTTTAGTCATAACAGAATGGTTGTGTAGTTCGATGAAACGAGAATTGTGACAGGGCATAATCTGGGGGGAGCCTGTGCTTTCATAATCTTCGATTTCTCTTATTGTCATTTGCCAGGCAG